CAGCCAGAGGTGTACAAGAAGAAGACCTTAATTCAATTCAATATTTTATTGTCCCACAACACGAAATTAGTGTAGCACCAAGGGCAACAATAAGAATAAACAAAACAATAACAAAAAGCCACAAGACAGTTATTTGCCATTAAAGAGATGGGTTCAGTAAGGATAAAAGAAACCTCGAGTTTTTTGGTCTTCCTCACAGGTACTCTAAAACAACAGCCAGAGGGCAACAAGTTAAACTCAGTGTGAAGTGAATGGTTAAAACAATTAACAATAGAATGAGCCTTCCTCAGCGCATGCTTGTTATAAATGGTCAAAAGTCTGTCTTGCCAATGCCCTGAGATTTTGCTGGCAGTTTTTACCAAAAGTCCCAACTGATTCTTGTTCTTCAGAGTCACGTTACCAAACCAAGCAGCGATACAGAAAGAAATAACAGATTCAGTAAAAATTCTGTAGAGCAAGGACAACATTTCAGATGAGACAGTAAAGATTTAATATTCCTTAAATGTGAGATTGGCCAAATTTTGATCAGGTGATGCTCTTAGTTTTCACAAATCTGCTGTCAGAACATTTTAATCCCGCCTGATAGGTGGAAAAGTGGACTTTAGATATTTTCAGTATCATCATCAAAGACCCCTCGCACCCTCGACACTCACTTTTCGCCCCCTTCCCTCTGGTAAACGCTACAGGTCCATCAGGTCAAAGACAAACAGACTCAATAGAAGCTTCTACCCACAGGCTGTCAAACATGCCCTACCTCCGCCCTTATTGGAGGATAACTGCACTGCCAACACTCTTGGACATGACCTCTTTAAACAGTATTTATTATAACCATATTTATTACAGTAGCAACAGCATCCCCCCCCCCGCCAAACACACACACTCAATGTGCAATATCACTGATCACACTGCACCTCACAATGCACATGCTCCTCATGTATGTGTATGTATATATATGTAAGCGTGTATGTGGAAGTTTGTGTGTGTGTGTGTGTGTGTGTGTATACATATATGTATGTATCTGTATGTATGCATGTATGTAGCCATATGTACGCATGTGTATGTATAACTTGTACATATCTTTCTTGTGTAAATGTAAATGCCTGTGTTATTGTGTAGATTTACAGAAAGATGCCAAACTGTGTTTCATTGTTCTTATAACAGTGACAATAAAGAGGTATTCTATTCTGTTCTAAGTTCCCTTGCACTTGTGTATCTGCAAATCTTTTTTTTTTCAGTAAGTGCATTGAACTTTGCACTGACAGTCTCATTCTGTGAAGCAATGATGATAGCACCTCAAGTGCGTTCAGATTGGAGACTGCTATCTGTAACTGCAAAATGCTGTATGTATGGTTACAGAACCATGCAGAGAGTAAAATTACACTCATTTTTTAGACTGGATATTTTACTTTTGAGTGTCTAGGGTGCTAGCCTCCGCCACACCTCGAGGTGGTGACAAAGGACACATTTTACATAGAACAGCAGTTACCAAATCTAAAACTGCATTTAAGTCTGAGCTAATGTTCATGTTTAACCAGTTTTGACAGCTGGGGCAAACCATTAGTGAGAGTGACTGTCCTGGGAATCACTAGCTGTTTTTGGCCATTGCTTAAGTAAGATTATACTTTCAGAGATCATTTCTATAGTTTTTGACTTGAGAAATGTGTTTCTAGAGTGTCTGGTATTGCTAACCACGATGATGAGTTGTGATTTTTTTTCTTTTGAGCATGAAGCTGACAGAGTAGTGCTGTGCTGCCCATGGTCTGTCATTGATGATTACCTTTTGCTCTACTGTAGAGCACTGAAGAAGGGAATATGATCAGAGTGGCTCTAGAAGAGTTAAAAGAAGGAGTAAATTTATTTTATTTTGTCTACTGATTACTTCCACATATGTAGTTATGGGATTCGGTCATGGTTTAAGACATTGTGACATTTAATGGCCATGTGAACAACTGCATCTGAAATATGCACTATTTACGATTTCTGGTCATTTCCAAATTTTAACTTTCTGGCAAACGATCACAGTAATGGCAGCAACACATTTTGGATTGAGTAAATGGTATTATATTTAACTGCTTTTACCAAGCATTGATGCTCTCAATACTGGATTTAAATGTTACGTAATCAACTCTAACTTCAGATTTATCTGCGCCAATGTTACTGTAATTATGTACAACAGTAATAGTTCATTAACTTCTCATTAACTCAAGACTTTGGCCATGTTTGACAGCTGAGGCAAACCATTAGTGAGAGTGACTGTCCTGGGACTCAATAGCTCTTTATGGCCATTGCTTAACTAAGACTTTACTTTCAGGGATTATTTCGATAGTTTTTGAAATGTATTTCTAGAGTGTATGGTCTCGCTAACCGCGACGATGAGTTGTGATGTTCCCTTTTGAACGTGAAAGTGAAGTCAACGATGGTTTTGTCATGTGTTTTGTTATTGATGACTGTTCATTGCTTAATTTTAGAGCTTTGAAAAGGGGAATATGATCTGAGTGGTTCAAGGAAATGCTTTAAATGTATTTCACCAAGCTGGTGTCATAGCACTAAAAGCACAGGTGCAATCATTCTATGCAAGTCCCTTCATGTGTAAGTGGAATTTAGTAGTTGTATTAATGATTGAAAATGAGAAAACAAATGCTTATTTAAGGGACTTTACACATTTTCTTTTTTTAGTGAGTGACAGAGACGAGTCTGCTGAAGAAGAATTTCTTAAACTTGGACTAAATGTTGTCAGTCTACCAACTCTTCAAGCAGGTAGAGACATCTAGTGGCCACTTGTATTATTGGTGTCAGATAATAGTTTGTTGAAATAAAAACCAAGATTTCTAGATACACAAGTGCATGGGAGCATAATTATGGGAGTCTCATGAATTAGACTAACTATTCACTTTAGCTAAAGTTATTAAGTTAGCTAAAGAGTTAGGATGCTGTGTAAGACATAAATAAAGCTAAAATACAAAGGTTTGGACACTGTTTTGCATGTTTCCCTGCTGTAGGGGTCTCTGCAAGCATACAGGACTCTGAGAGGGTGCAAGATGACAACTTTGGAATTCTACTAGAAACAGTCGATCATATTTGTTTGTCAAAGCTGAATTCAGGGCAAACTACGCTAAATTAGCATAAAAGTTACTGTACGGTAGGGCTGGGCGATATGACCCAAAATTCATATCTCGATATTTTTTAGCTGGATGGCGATATAAGATATATATCTCGATTTTTTTTT